TTGGTCACTCTGCCATGGAGAGGAGCAGCTGGCACATGCCCCACCATGTCACCCTGGCATGCTGCTAGGGGAAGGAGCCGGGTACAGTGGCCCACATGCGGGTACACTAGCTCCCCTGAACCGTGTCTTTAAAAGGTTAAGTGCTGCGTGCATCCTGGGTGTCCACCCCAACGTCCCCTGACAGTGTGATTTCTGAAGTCCTTTTCCTCCCTCTCACTGGTGGACACTGGTCCTTGAGCTCATAGCAGCCTGTTTGTGCAGTGTTATATTGAACTTGAGTGGCATTTCAAAAGGCGCTGTGGCACACGACTGTAATCCCAGCAGTTCAGAGGGTCCCAAGTTCAAGGCCAACCTGAGCAACATCATCCCTGTCTGCAAATAAAAATGGGCTGGGGTGTAGCTCAGGGGCAGAGCGGAGCTGAGACTAACTCCCAGGAAACAAAATAAAAGTGATAAATGAAGAAATGAAAGGAATTGGGTAGGCCTATGGATTTCCATATCAACCGTAGACCTGTCAGCTTGGTGAGGATCATGTTGGAATTAACACTGCAGTTTGCTTTTTTTTTTGGTGGCACTGGAGATTGAATGTAGGACAGCTCTACTACTGAGCCACATTCTCAACCTTTTATTTTGAAATGAGGCTTCACTATATAGTGGAGGCTGGCCTCAAACTTACAATCCTCCTGTGCTGGCCTCCCCAGCCACCACATAGGGCAGATGTGTTATGGTTTGAGTATGTCCCACAAAGGCTACTTTGGCGAGAACTCTGAGGACATTTTAACAGCCCGAGTATTTTGTGACCACATAAATGGTCTTTGTAAATGTCTTGGCTGAGGCCGTGCACTCTACACAGGACTGCTGCTTCCCATCTCTGCACCTGTCGTCGACCTTGCTCCCTCACCATTTCTAGTTTTTATTTCTAGATAGCTTAAGATCTCGTGTACACTGTGCCCATGTCATCTGTAAATAAGGACAGCCACTCTGCTTCCCCCCCCGCCCCTTTCTATTTGGTCTTCACTGGCTGAAGTGGGGTTCGGCATCTGCACGTGGGAGTTTGTGTTATTACATCCTCAGCAGCAGGGTTTTGCTTTGTTTTTGGTACAGGGATTGAACCCAGGGGCCCTCGGCCACTGAGCCCTGTCCCCAGCACTATTTGTATTTTATTTAATGACAGAGTCTCGTTGAGTTGCTTAGGGCCTCGATGTTGCTGAGGGCAACTGTGAACTTGAGATCCTCCTGCCTCAGTCTCCCGAGCCACTAGGATGACAGGTGCGCACCACCAGGCCCAGCTAGTAGCAGGTTTTATTGTCATTTTTTAAAATCTTGGTGATTCTGATATGAGATCTCATTGTATTCATTAGTATTTTCCTAGTGACTAAATTGAAGATTTTTTCATGGGCGCATTAGCCACTTCCGTTCTGAAGTTGGCTTGGCTTGAGTTGACAGTTCCTACATATTTGGGGCACAGGTTCCTTATCCCCAAGTTTGTGGCTTATGATGTCTTTGGAAGTGTGTGAGTTTTCAATTTTAGTTCAATTTTTTAGTGGTTTATTTCACTTGATTTTTTTCTGTCTGTCTTTATTAGTGTATTGTGCTTGCACATGACGGAAGTGTCACGTATGCACACAGTGTCACAGCTTGGCCAGGGCCACACCCACCACTTTCCTCCTCCCTGTCTCCCTCACCCCCGCCCCTCCCACCCCATCACTTTCCTTTAGGGATCTCACTTAATTTTTTTTATACTTACTTTTTTGGTATCAGGACTTGAACCCAGGGGTGCTTAACCCAAGCCACCCCCCAGCTTCTTTACCTAAAGACGGGGTCCTGCTGGGTCGCGAGGTTGGCTTGATCTCACAGCCCTTGGCGCCTGGTCTGGCCTCCCTTACTTTTCCTGAGCTCCTCTCCACCTCTGTTTCCTCTCTGGCCTCCACCCCTGAGAACACAAGGCCTCTGCCATCTGGTTAATGGCTGAATCCAGCTGTCCCATCCACGTGCCACCCTGTCTTAGAGCCTGTCTGTTGGTGGACACCTGGGGTGGCTCCTAGTTTAGCTCTTGATGTGGCTGAAAACCTTTGCTCCAGCAGGGTTGTGATTTGCTCCTGTGTTCTCTTCTAGAAGGTTCCTTCTCCGTGCAGCCTTGGGCGTGCTGGGCAGGCGCTCTGCTGCTGAGAGTTCACGTGCGTGTCCCCTCTCGGGCCTCGGATGCCCACGTTGACCCTCCTGTACGGGTGGGCCCTGTCGCCCCGTCGGGCCCCCTGACCAGGTTGTGGGGCCCACCTCGGCCCAGGCCGCTGGTCCGCACATGAGCAGGCAGTTCCCGGGCTCGGTCCGTCCCCCCCTCAAGCCTGTCCTCACGCCGATCCCGCGTGTCCCACTGCGGTGACTCCAACTCAGGTGCCGTTGAAACGGGAAAGTGGGACTCCTTCCCCCTCCTTCCCCCGTTTTCTGTTTCAAGGTGGGGGCTGCTCTGAGCCCTTCTCCTCTCCACGTGCAGTTCAGGGTCAGCTTTTTGGTTTCTGCGTTAACACTTGCTTGGGTTTGGGCAGCGACGGCACTGCAGCCGCGGATCAGTGACGCTGTGTCTCCTGTCGCCTAGCAAAATAGTTCCTTACCAAAAGGCGGGGTGGGCGCCCCGGGGCTCAGTGCTGGTACTAAAGAGGGAGTTTGGGGACGGAGCTCGGTGTGTAGAGCCCGGTTCCGTCCTCATGGGTGTGAGCGCGCGTGTAGGCCCCACCCACTCCCGGGAGAGCTGGGCCTCGGCCCCTGCAGCCCGTCTTGCGGAGTCTTGGCTGGAAGGCGCGGTGCTGCGCGGGGTGCTCGGCGCCCACCTGAAGGCGGCTCCGATCCCAGGAGCACGGAGAGCGCCAGGCGGCCTCACGGGTTCTGTGAACACGTGTGTCCGTGCGACAAGCGTCCCTGCCCCGGCAGCAGCAGGAGTCGCAGCTTCTGGGGCTGTGCGCATGAGCTGAGCCTCCGTCCCGGGCCTCTCTTTCCAGACTCCGGGGAGCAGGTCCTGGTGGACGTGGAGACCAAGACCAACAAGGAGATCGTGGAGCACGTCAGGAAGATCCTGGGGAAGAGCGAGTGAGTGGCTGCCACCGACCGGGGAGGAGCTGGCCCGGGGTGGGGACAGGCCCCTGGAGTGCGGCTGGAAGGCCCCGTGTGAAGCCCGGCTTGTCTCTGCAACCCTGGGGCTTCCCGGGTCCCCGCCTGGGCCTGAGGAAGGGCTGACCCCAGGACGCACGCTGCTCTTGGGGACAGCACGGGGTTGTCTTCCCCGTGACCTGGCCCTCTGCACGGGGTGGGTGGGGGCTCCTGGGGACCGGGCTGCGCTTCACCTCCTCGGCGCCCCTGCAGGGAGACCCTCCAGAGGGAGCAGCAGGAGAGGCAGCAGCTGTGGCACCCCGCCAACTTCGGGCCCCGGAAGTACTGCCTGCGGGAGTGCATGTGCCAGGTGGAGGGCCAGGTGCCCTGCCCGGGCCTGGTGGCCCTGCCCAAGGAGATGACCGGCAAGTACAGAGCCGCCCTGAGGGCCAGCGCCAAGGACTGAGCCGCCTGCGCCAAGCGGTGGTGAGATGGGGGTGACCCCAGGACTGCTCTCGGAGGTCGCCTTTGGACTGAGGCTGAGGTGCTGCGTGGATGTCCCCGTCCCTTGCTCAATAAAAGGCCTGGTGGCCCCAGCAGCACTGTGCTTCTGGTCCTGCCGCAGGGAAGGGGACTCTGGGCAGGGAGGGTAGAGGCCATTGCCACCGTGGTGTCCTGGGACACTCTGCTGCGGGTCGTTTCTAGACCTGCTCTCGGGGAGGTGGCTGAGCCTGTGGCTTTGTGGCTTTTCCACTCCTGGGAGGGCTGGCCTTTCAAACCAAGCATGTGGCCCTTGCGTGGCATGGGGGTGGGGTCCGGCCTGGGCGGAGCTGCCGCAGCCCACTGTGGTGCAGGCCCCTGTCACTCAGGTCCGTGGCCCCTGCTGGGGAGGCCTCCCACAGGGCCCTGGCAGCTCAGCCAGGAGGTGGTGGTGGGGGTCAGGCTGGCACCTTCCTTTCCTGGCCCGGCCTGGCCGGTCCTACAGCCCCCCAGGGTCCTTCCTGGGTGGTAGCTGGTGCAGGTGGCCTCTGCCGTGGGGGCTGTAATGTGGTTTAGGGACCTGCCAGAGACGTTGACGTCCAGGTTCCCGTTTGCAGTGACTCTAGTCGTAGTGGACAGGGTGCTCTGAGGGCCACAGGCTCACGGGCTGGTGTTTGGTGGCAGTGTGGCCCTTGTCTCCCACAGCCAGTATGGAGGGCCACTGCATTGTCCCCAGCCCAGCCGCTGGCTTTGTGACACAGCCTCCCAGGAGGAGGGGGGCCCTGATCCAGAGCCGTCGCCCCTCTTTGCAGAGGGACAGAGGCCTGGGCTCGCGCTCAGGCTCAGCAGGGTGTGGGGAGCACCCGCCACACCTCCAGGCCAGTGGGTGGAGGTGAGTGGCGCTTGGCCTGGGGCCACCCTCCCTGGGACGTGGGCAGTGGACGAGGATCACGCACGTCATCGTTTACAACTTGTCTTTGAATCTGAGACACGGGGCCTGGCGGAGCGGGAGGGCTGCCGACGCTTAGCCGTGTCCCGAGCCGTGGGGTGGTTCTGCAGACAGCAGCCGTCAGGAGGCACGGCGGGCAGTGCCACTCAGGGACCTGGCTGTCATGAGTTGTCATGCCTGTGACTTGGGGCCTTAGCGTCCTTACCTGTGAAATGAGAGGCCAGGTGACCATGAGCTTGTCCCCCCATGGGTGGCTCCACCTGGTTAGCGAACCTCCTTAGGTGAGGAGCCTGCTGTGTGGTGGCTCAAGGCCTGGTGACAGGGTCGGGTGGCCGCCCTGCTCCTGAAGCAGCCTCACCCCTCACCAAGGAGCCGCCCTGCGGTGGACAGAGGTCGCTGCCTGGGTTTTCCCTGCCGACAGTCCCCGCAGGGCCCCCGGCCAGATGTCACCAGTGCGGTGGGGAGAAATGAGGAGCAGGCGCACACGAGGCTTTAATTCACTTTTAATGGTCTGCCCTCCTGTAGGCAGCAGGGTGGGCCACAGCGAGGCCACATCAGACAGCATGGGTCACGCACACAGCTGCGCATGCACGGCAGCGCCACGGACACAGCGCAGGGCCGCGGGCGGGACAGCGTTAGATACAAAATCGGGTTAAAAAAGGACATGCCATTGAAATGCCATCACAGAACAACGCTCGCTTCACAGGGGACGGGAGCTGTGCACAGCTGCAGCCTCCACAGGGTCTCAACCCGGAGTCCAAATGTCACGGCGTCAAGGAGAGAAGGGCAGGGTGACAGGGATGGTCCCAGGAAACCTCACGCCCGCACTGTCCTCTGGGGGGGTGCCTTTTTAAGGGCTGGGAGGCGGCTACATTTTAACAGAAGTCCCAACTACCGGGAACCCACAGCTGGTGTGTGGGGACACGTGCAGCTTCGCAGTCAGAGGACCAGGCCAGCGCTGGCCCCCGGGGGACAGGTGAGACGGAGGACAGCAAGTCTGCCACTCGTACAACTGAGTCTGCTCCCGAGGAAAAGCCACTCTTAAGGGAGAGCCTGCTGTCCCCAACCGCCACCCCAACCTTCACCCTTTAGTGCCCCGTCAAGTGGTTGGGTCACTCGGCTGCTGTTATGCCGGTCAAACAGGTGACAGAGACTGTCAGACTTCCATGTTTTTCAGCTAGAAAGCCACTTTCAAACATGTGATTGTCACAGCAGGTGAGGGCCACAGCAGCGCCACCTTCGTTTTACGTCAAAGTAGGGCCACCGAGCGCTGAGGGCCCGCGTCTCTCAAAGGCACTGAGCAGTGTCCCCGTGTCCTCGAACATGCTGATGCTGCACCGAGAAAAAGAGCAGCCTGGGAGGGTCCCGGTCATCCAGCAGTGACCACCAGGCTGGGCCTGGCTCCAGGGCCAGGTCTTCGCTCAGAGCCCTATTATGGGGAGTCATCAGGTTAGACCTGGTGACAGAAACTTGGTGTCTGTGGCTTTAAGGACAAACACCAGTTCATTTCTGAAAATTATGATTTGAATTTTTCAGAAAGGAGTTTAGCCTGGGGACCCGTCAGGCCCCCAGGGGGCGGGGAACCGCACCAAGGCCAGCCTCCAAAGACCTCCCGGCTGTGCCCTGGCCTCGCTCTAGGCCCCACTGACAAAGACGGTCCGCACCCTGGCCGGGGCCTGGCTCTGGCCACCTGGGAAACTCCTTCCAGCTGGGCTGCCAGCTGCCGTGTGACTTGAGTTGAGAAATGGCCACGTAGCTGTGGACACTGCAGCCCTCGTGTGAACAGAGAAGAGTCCTCCTGTCCCCTCCTTTCCTGCCTGGAGAGAAAGGCCTCCCCACGGGAAGATGCAGGTAGGAAAACCAGCCCCCCCCAACCAGGGGCCTCGAGCAACTGTCAAGAACTGTCCAGGGCAGGGGCGGGCGTCTGTCACACACACACAGCTCTGTACTCGGGGTATGGACACATGTACGTCACCCAGGCTGCTGCGGAGCCCTGGGGCTGGACACGCCCAGTACACACTGCGGGACACAGGAGGAGGGGGTGGCCTGGAACCTAGTGTGCAGAAGACCAAGAGCCACCCTGTCGCGCTGGGGTCTTGGCTTTCAAAATCTACAAAGTTAAGACAATTCTCAGAGCTGCGTGACTGACCTAGAGATCGGTGGCTGGGCAGGGGACATGGGGGCATCTGCTTACTGGCTGAGGTGTTCCCAGGACCAAAGGGCACCTGGCGAAAAATCGGGTCTCACAGGACACTTAACAGGCTTAGGGGACCCTGAACGCCGCCAGCCAGAGGCTTCCAGACACGGATGCCAACTGCCACCCAGGACTGCTCTGCAGGGACGCGTCCCCAGAGGACAGGGTGAGGCTCCAGCTCCCGGCTCCCGTGGTGGCCAGCTGCCCAAGTGGCCGTGGGGAGGGGTGTGCCCAGTCCTGCCCACAAGCTAGAAAAGAAGGGTGCACGGCCACCACACCCCAGATTCAATAGAAAAACCCATTTAAGGACCCCAAAACCTCAGCCCGAGGGCAGAGGCTGGGCAGCACCTCACCTTCCAGGAGGAAGGGGACCAGTGACACTGGGCTGAGCGTCTGGGTCTGGTGTATGCACAGGTGACTCCAACACCTGAGTCAGCGTCATTTGAGCTACTCCTCGGAAGAAGGCCGCTTAACCAAGAAGTGCCCGTGGGGGCCGTCCTCCCCCCTGGGCTGCTGTCCTCACCTAGGCTGCATGCAGAGCGTCTCGGGACCTGGCCTCACGTCGTCACACCTGGACCACAAGCTCCCCAACGCTGACGGCCCATGACGGCTGCACCCTAAATGGTGAGTCTCCTTAAGTAACCTGAGGCTCAGGCCACACGAGGGACTTCCAAGCCCAAGAGCGTCCTCCGGGATCAGCCCTGGGCAGCTCAGGCCGGCACCTCTGCAGGCACATGGGGCACCCGGGGCCATCATGCGGCCCTCGGACATGCAAGAACACGGAAGTGGCAGCTGCAAGGGACACAGGAGCCGCCAGACCCACCAGGCCAGCTCTGCTCTCGGGGAGCCTCTGTCTCACCTTCCTAAACACTCAAGTCCATCGGCCACCACTGCCACTCTCCAGCCTCTGCTGCCCAGGAGGAGTAACAGCCCTAATGACGGAGCCTGAGGGGGATGCGTCCCCCCGATCCTGCTGCCACAGCCCGGAGCACTGCCCACCGCAGGAGGACACAGCCCCTCTGCCTGGAGCCCACACCCAGTGCCATGGAGACAAAGGTAGGGACGGGCCACCTGGTCAACAGATGCAAACTGCGCTCATGGAGGTGACGGTACGCCTGGCAACCGAGCTCGGCTTTTGGTGTCAACTAGGGTCACTAACTTCTGAGGAAGACTGTCCCTTGGGGATGAGGGTTGCTTTCTGCTGGGGCACCACGTGCTGGGACAGTGAGAGGCCACCCCTGATGTTCATGACCTGCAGAGGACGAGCTGCTGGGCTCCTGTGCCACCGGCCCTGACCTGCTCCCGGGGTGTCAGGTGGAAACCCCCGGGCAGGGGTCCTCACGCTCCAGAAGCTGCACTGTCCCTCTCCACGCAGCCCCCCCCCCACTCAGGAAGGGGCGTCCAGGGTTGAGGGTGCCCACCCTGCCCTGCTGGGTCAGAGGCTGCAGCTGCCACGAGCGTGAGGTGACCTGAGGACGTCTGCCGATGCTGGAGGTGTGACAGGTCTCCAATCGCCGTTCGGTCTGACCCGCTCCAACCTAATCCTCAGAAGCAGGCGCAGGTGATGGAGAGTCCGCAGACGCCCGCCACAGACCAGGACCGCGGTCAGGGGACCCAACGGTCAGCCCGGTCGCCACGTTTCCGTTCACAGGAGCCACGTGCACAGACCGAGGAAAGACGACGCTCTAAACAAATGATTGTCTCCGGAACCCGCGGTGTCAGTCCCCAGCGCTCCAGCCAAAGGCGCCCGCGTTCCCGTGGCCCCGCCCACAGGCAGGTGTCGCTAACGTTACAAAGTTTGATAACAAGTGCTTAGAAAGTGCTATTGTCACCCTGGCAATTAGTAGCTATTAATTCCAAGGACATTTTTAATATATTTACACACGTACTGTTCTCTTAGGTTCTTTTAGTTGCTTTAATACTAGTCTCTGACATTATAAAACTTCCTTTTTATGGTTTTTTGCCCTTTGAGAATTGCTAAATACAAATGGAGTTAAAAGATTTTTCCAAAATCTTCATCAAAAGGCATGAAAACGCTTCTCACGGCGGGAGAGGATCCCACTGTCTGGGGTCAACAGGAGGAACCGGGTGGGACCCGGCCACCCTTTGCACATACCAAACACCACTACTTTTGCTCCCCTTGGTCCGAGCGGTCCTGGCGGGTCCCACGGGCGGTGGCGGGCGCGCGTGGGTACTATAGGCTGGCTCCGGTGATCTGGCCGTTGTACTCCGCCGTCTCCATCTTGAGGATGTAGGGGATTATGCTGTCTATTGAAACATTGCCAATGAGACCAGTGAAAAAGAGTTCCTCCGTTATGCTGCAGCTCATCAGCCTGAGCGCAGGCAGGCGGACGAGGATCCGGGCCAATCTGCAAGAGGGAGCCGCGTTAGAGACGGGAGGGCCTCCAGCTCAGGGGACCAGGCCGCCACCGCCACCCGCCCACCCAGCTCTCTGGTTTTCCCACTTCAACAGCGGCTTGCCCAGGTCATCCTGAGGACACCCAGCAGGTGACTGGAGACACAACACTCGGCCCCCACACACAAGGAAAAGCCACCCTGTGTCCTCACAGAACAACCTGCCGCTCCCAGAAAGACAGGAAGAGTGTCTACGTCTCGATGAGGAAAGACCCACGACACACCGTGCGATAAAAAGCAGCCGGAGGACGTCCCCACAACACTCCTGGCTGTCCCTGCCTCTCAGGAACTACTAGAGCTTGGTATGGCCTCAAAATCCAGGTAAAAGATGCTTCACTTTGAAGAAACCCTGCTGTGAGGGCCACAGACAGTGTATCTGCTGTGTCCCATGGGACTGCGCTGCTCGTTCTGTATTAGATAAAAAGTTATGGGCTTTGATTCCCAATGACATAAAGCAAGTTTCTGGAAGTGAACACAGAAGGTTAAAGGTAGGACAGCTCCAGATGATGCTTTCTTAATGAAGTAGTTTGTCCCCTTTGCACTTTCTAGAATGTTCTAAACAACTATATTCAGAGCATTCAAGCACCATCACCCACAGCCGGGGTGAGAGGGACACCAACACAGGCTGCTGGTCACAGGATGTCAGCAGGGGCCATCTCAGCCTGGGGCCCCAGAGAAATAAGCCAGGCTGGCCACAGGGCGTCTGTGGGGAGCGCGTGGCTAGAACCTGCTGCACAGGCTGAAGGGACTCTGGGCTCCAGAGATTGTGGTGAACAATGGTGCTACAAAAGCTGCAGCTGGGCCGCGGGCACTGCCATCACATTAGGCATGGCCGTGGGACGGTCCTGGCTTTGGCACTGCAGTCAGCCAGGTGCCCCTGAGGCTCAGGACACCAGCAGGTACAAGTGCAGGGCCCGGGCAGTTCTGGGCAGGGGACCAAGCCTAGGGAAGGGCTTCGTCTGTCTGGACTGTTAGCCCTCGTGGGGTCACAACGGGCTAAAAAGTAGAAAGTGGTTGGAGTGAAAGGGGGCAGCAATTCCCGCAGCTGTGGCTCAGAGCAGTGCGGGGGGGCTGTGCTTTGGCAGAGCCGGGGAGGCCCTGTTAGCCGGACCAGCCAACGCCGGACCAGCCCCCAACACGGGGACTCCTAGCAGCCAGCGTGTCTGCAGGCATGACCTGTGCGACTCGCTGCTCTCCCCTAGGGTCACACCCAGCTGCTGCCCAGGACCAGAGGCAGCACTTTCCAATGGGCAGACAGGGCCTGGCCGCACCAGCCCCAGGAGAGGCCACCACCCGTCAGACGAGGGAGAAGCACTCTGAGGCCTCCCACGCTCATGCTGCCTCCACTGGACAGGACAGGGGGGGCGGAGCTCACCGGTAGGTGTCCTCGGCGTAGGTCTTCTGCACATAGTCCTGCAGCTCCATCTGCGCCTTCTCCTGGAACTTCTCGATCTGGCTCGTGCCCGTCAGCCCCGGGTGATCTGAAAGCAAAAGGACCCCCGGGTTCCCTTCTGCCCTGGGGAGGCCTCCCCTGCAGACGCCACCGTGGTCACTGTGTGTGCGTGGAGGGGACGTCAAGGGGGAACCAGCCGGGCAAGTGCCCCACGGCTGAGCTGCGCCCCACCCCAGCCCTTTAACAAATCATTTTTAGATTCACAGACAGGGTCCAAGCTGCCCAGGCTGGCCCCGAGCCCACGGTCTCCTGATAGCAGCGGTCACAGGTGTGCCCACCTCGGCCAGCTGAGTCGAATTTCTGTGAGGCTACCCTAAGGTGACGTCCCAAACTCAGAAGCTCAATCCCGTTGGGACGTCGCTAGAATGCTAGCTTTGCCACCGGTTTCTGCCAAGGTTCCCAAGAAGGAACTGGGCACCCCCTTCCGCCTGGGCACAAGCCCAGCTGAGTTGGTTGTGGACACCTGGCTGCCCACCACAGAGCCAGGTGCGGGAACTGCCCAAGGGAAAGTGCCCCCTGGGTACTCAGGGACAGGCTCCCGAGCTGTCCTGGGGACGGGGCAGAGCCACGGGGAGCCTCCCCAGGTCCTCTTGCGGGGTTGGCTGGCACCGAGCCCAGGTGACCAGAAAGAGTGTGGGGAGCACCTGGTGAGGCCCAGCGTCTGTGTGGCCAGGGGTCTAAATTGGGTATTGAATAGCTGTCATCTGTACCCTATGTCCCCAGACATGGTGGCACGTTTCTCGGGAGCTGTAAAAGCCCAGGACTAACAGAATGTCCGCATGTGCGGGAGCCAGTCAAGTGGCTGTCGGGGGACACCAGGTGACATACAGAGTGGCAGGGCAGGCTACAGTGCTGACAACACGAACATGGGCAGAAATATCAGTGGGCACAGGGAAGGCGTCCCGGGTCCCCAGCGCATATCTTACCGGGGCTAAAGAGAACTATAGCTTTAAGGTATGCGTACTCATAGCCGTCCACCTCGAGCCGCGCCATGCCGTTGCAGAACTCCTGCAGCTTCCAGATGTGCTCCATGACCTGCTTGATGCGCTCGCCCGACAGCTTGTCTGCAAGCAGACCACAGGCCCTGAGGAGATGGCCACCGTGGGGACGGCAGGGGGCTCTGCTCAGCACCTCGGGCTGCTCCCAGCACGGGGGAAGTGATCGTGGGCACCCAAGCTCCACTGTGGTGTCACCCCGCCTCAGAAACAAGGCCCCAGGCTGGGGCCCACCTGAGAGGCAGCTCCCTGGCCTATGGTGCCACCGGGGAGCTCCTTCAACTCTGCCCGGGTCCTGTTGGGGTCAGGTTCCCAACTCCGCAGGTCCCGAGAAGCATGTGCTGACCCGACTCCTCAACGGGACATGGACGGCTGTTGGGACAGTGTGACCCTGCAGCTCTCTACAGCAGGTGTCGCGGTTCTCCTTGGTTTATTTGGAAAATAAAGAAAACTGCAGCTCCTGGGAGCAGACCTTACTTAAGCGAGAGGCTGTTTCTGCACCTCAGCCTCCCGTACGCCTGGGCAGGTGGCTCGCGTCCCAGGACTCAGACACCTGGGACGTCCCAGGAGGAGCCTCGCTTTACGGAGAGGGTCTCGGGGCGCTCACGTGAAGCCCTGGACACTCCCCTTCCGCATGCTGGTCCTCACTGTGCTCTGGCCGGGGAGAACCTGGCCGTGTCCAGCAATGACAGCGAGGAGACTGGGGGGGTGTGTCCCTCGCACTTGTTTCATTGGAGCCAGCTGTGGCCTCAGTAGGGCCTCAGTTTCCACACAGGTCACAGTCCCGAGGACAGGCCTGGAGAATGTCACATGGAAGGACGACAACCCAGGGACGGTGGCAAGGTAAGCTCCAGCTGTTCTTGAAAAAGATCACTAAATGCCGAAGAGGACGTGGCCTTCACAATGGAGGTCACTCCTTACATGAAGAGGCCGTTCCAGACGCTCTGCCTAGTGTGGTCCCACTACTTTGAAGTCACGTGCCCCCCCCTCCATGGTGTGGCGGGACGAGAGGCTGTGCATAGGCCAGATCGCCCTCCTCCCTGCGTCCCCAGGCCCTACCTTCCTGGATGCTGTTCTGCAGGTGGTTGACGATGGCGGCCAGGATGGTGGAGAGGCTCATGACCTGGGCGCACTGGGCCAGGCCCAGGGTGAAGAGCTCGTTCCAGCAGGCCCGCACCAGGCTCGTGTTGCAGTCCTGCCTGGGGGCGGGGGGCGGCTCAGCGGGCTGCGGCACCCCACCTGGCACCGCCCACAGGCTGCAGCCCAGTACCGAGCACAGCACTTAATACCACCTCCTCCAGCAGGGAGCTGCCCTGCTGCTGTTGGACTGAGGTCAGGGCTGCTGTGTCCCTGGGCTCCGGCCCCAGCCCTTTTTATGTGTTACTCTGAGACAGGGCCTCGGTGGCTGAGGCTGGCCTCAAACTTGTGGTTCTCCCGACTCAGCCGCCCGAGTGGCTCGGGTCACAAGTGCACACCGTGACGCCTGTCCACTGCTGTGTTCTTTAAAAAGCTTCTTCAGCCTTAACCACCCCCCTAAGCAGGGAGGCCAAAGCCTCCTTCCCTAAGCAAGTCTGCTGGACCCTCAGCTGGCCTGGCCTGGCCTGGCTCTGTCCTGGGGGGGGGGCGGGGACCCGTGACTCAGCACCTACAGTGAAGGTCACGAATGACAGCGTGGATCAAGACAGGGGAGAAGTGCACCCACCCGCATGCAGGTGGGAGGGGCCCAGCTGGGCCACCTGCAGCGCTGCTCTGCTCCGCCCACATGAGTGGCACGGTCAGCCCTGCACAGCTGCTGTCTTGGTGCTCAGGAGCCTTGGTGCTCAGGAGCCGCAGCCCAGTGGGGCTGGGGACAGAGCCCAGGTGGCCGGGTGCTTGCCTCCCCTGCACAAGGCCCTGGGCTCAGTGCCCAGCACCATCAAAAAATCCGAGGCCAGGGAAACTGCTGTCCCCACAAAGGCTGTGCCTGCATTTGCCTCAGAAAGGCCCCCTGCGCCGGGCATCCCCACGGCTCAGTACAAACCTCCTGTCATCACAGTCGCTCCCTGAGCTCGGAGCCTGATGAGTATGTGAAACCCAAGGGACACCACTGTAAGGCGGTGACATATTTTGCATAGCCCTCTGAGGAGGGTCCACGTCCATGGTAGCAAGAACGTCACTTTTTATCCCCATATTTTAAAAACCTTTGCCAACCGCGGGATTATCAGCCTGAAGTCACCTATCCTTTGGTGGCAGCAAGTGCAGGCCCTTGTCCCTAAAAGTCAGTAGCTCACAGCCCAATTTTATGCGTCGCCCGCCTGCCCGCGTCTCCCCCACGATGACGAGCTGGTCCTGTCTGCCTGACCCCACGTGGGCGCCCAGGCACCCAGCAGCTCCACACCTGACCCCTGGGAGCAGCACTGGCTTCACAGACGCGAGGCCCTCCCTCTCAAGGACTCCACGGAGGCTCAGCAGGAAGGGGACCTGCCCGAAGCCACACAGCTGCTGAATCCTGCGGCCCCCAGGTATCTGCCCCACCCGGGCCTGGCCATGCGGCCACTCTCACGAGGCCACTCACGGTTCAGCCAGACTCTGAGCCACAGGGGCCTCCCATAGGGAACCAGGTCACTGCCACTCCAGGAACAAATGCCCGTGTGGGGACACAGACCAGTGCTGCGTGGGGGACGCAGGCAGTCGCATGGTCTCAAGGGCCTGACCACAGCTCCTGGTGCCACGCCCTTGGCTCACGGAGGCTCCGTGGAGGTCTGAGGCCCACTGCAGGGTGGCCGCCGGTGATGCTCCCAGTCCCCGATCAGGGCGTGTGGAAAAGGGCCACTCACCCGAGGGCCTGGAAGGCGGGGATGGAGCGGGCCCAGTGCATGGAGAGGAAGAGCAGGCGGGAGGCGGACTCGCAGATGTAGTGCACGTTGAGGTACTCGGGCATCGGGCTGGGCATGGTCAGCTGCAACAGACGACGGAGAGGTGAGCAAGGGACAGATGCCCAGCAGCAGGTCCCTGTCCTGTTCCACCAGCAGTGGTGGCCAGGGTCCCCGAGTCAAAAGAGCCCATGTGTCTGCAGCGGGGCGGCCCCGGCTCCCAGGTTTTCCTGCTCAATGAAGCAGGGTCCTGGGGACACAGTCGGGAGGCCCTGGGGACGTCTCAGCTCACCCATGGGACAGTGCACTGCTCTGTCACTGCCCCAGCGCAGTGACCGTCTGCTGCACTCACTGGGCCACAGGTTCAGGTCCAAGTGGAACTGGGGCCCCAGGGCCAGCTCCATGGCCGACAAGCATGGTGCAGGTGGCCCTGGTGCCAGGAGGTGACAAGTCCACCAGAAGGGGGGGGCCACAGTGCTGACCTGCCTCAGACGACCAAGCAGCAGGGACCCAGTCATCTGTCTAGTGAAGGCAGCAGGGGACAGAGACCTGTTCTGAGGCCTCTCTACAGGGGCTTCAGGGGTCCTGGGAGGCCCTCTAGGGGGCATGGGGCGACCTGGGCACTCACAGCCCCAGGGACAGCTACCATCTACCTCTGTGTGTTGAGGGCAGTGGCTGCCACCTGCCAACTCTGACCCCAAGGGCCCCACTGCACGGAGGTGCCCACGGCTGGGCTGTGCGGGGAGCAGAGGCAGAGCACCCGGCCACCACCCTTGGAGACTGCCCGCCTCGGAAAAGACAGGCCAGGCCTGTTGCCGGGTCCCTGCACAATCGAGTGGCACTGCGAGCAAGACAGGGAAGACTGCTCTGGACTCAAGATCTGCTCAAGCCACCCTGCCACACCACGGGGGTGGGGACGGGGACCAGCTCCCAGAAGATTTCAGACCCACTTGCCCAGAGCTCCCCACAGCAGGCCGGGCGGCTGGCAGGGCCGGGCCACAGACACTCACCTTAAAAGTGACGTGTGTGTCTGAAAGGAGGGGGCCCTCGACCTCGATGATGGGCGTCGACTGGTCTCTGCTGATGACGTGGATGCTGCCCCCTCCACTGGTGTCCACGCCGTCCGCCAGGCCGGGGGGCGAGGCGCCGTCCGCCGTGTTAAGTGCTTTAGCTAAGGTGTCAAACGCCCTGTGAGCGGAAACCAAGCAGGTCGTGACCCCGCGGCTCCACTGAGTCAACGTCCAGAACAGCAAGGCCTCGAGGAAGAGGTGCTGTCCCCCTGCAGAGGCGGGCCACAGTGACAGCGGGGACACGGGAGGTCTGGAACACCGCCAGCGTCCACGCAGTGGGCTGCCATTTCCAGTATGACTTCTGTGTTCCACGGTCACCCTCCCAAGGCAGGAATGTTCCCCTGGTTACAGATCTAATGCCGGCAGCTTTTCCACGGCCACCCACAGTCAGCAGTGGACGCAGGATTCTACCCGACTGGACACCACCCTCCTGGCCCTGACCTAGACCTTCACTTTGTCCTTAGACTGGAAGGGAACATGAGGGCCGAGCCCCCGTCACCTGGCTGGCCGGCACCAGGGCACAGGCCAGTGCTGAGCAGCCAGTCGGCACCGCCCGTCAGCTCCTGCTATCCTCACTGCGGGCCAGAGCCCCCCGCTCCCCAGCCCAGAGGTGGAACAGAGTGAGCTGCTGCTGTTTGGGACACTAAACAGGATTGACATCAGGCCACTGCCACGTCCCCTCCCGCCTCCCGGGTCGCGCAATTTTGACCCATATCATAGAATAAAGGGGACAACATTCTCAGTTGAAAACCCGAGAGCACAGACATGCAGTGTCACTGTGACCACGCCGTAGCCCTCGACTGAAGGCAGGACGGATGCCAAAGGCCACCTCCGCCCTCCCAGCACCGGGACTGTGTGGTTCCCCCCCCGTGGCCACGTACCGAGTGATCTCGCTGGCAGACTGGTCCTCCGGCTGGATCTCTGAAGTGTCGCCATTGTTCAGGGACTCGCTCAGGTTGGCAAGGGAGGTCACTACGTTTGCAAGGGTGCCCAGAGCTCCCTGGCTCGTCTCGGCCTATTGAGCAAAAAAACGTGACATTAAACACGAGCACATACGCACAGGACTCAGGCCGGTGGACGTGACGCCGACTCAGGACTCAAAATTTGTTCTTGTGAACAAATGGGTGGCACCAGGGCATCCTTCTGGTGACAGATTAGCTTTCTGAATCTTGGTTGTGATAGTGGTCACACAAGTCCCCAGGTGCCATGACAGTGAGGCACTGAGGAAAAACAGACCCGCTGGCCGCCACTCATCAACACTGGGGTGCTTCACAGACAGAGCAGAAAAAAAACCAGGGAACCCACCAAATACCAAGACCCCGTGAAGACTGCAGGTCACACACAGGCACAGGACAGCACCAGGACAGCCAGGGACCTTTTGGAACCCAACAGTCAAAGGCGACCCAATGCAAAAGTGGACATGGAATTTGGGACAGCATCTCTCCAGACAGACGGCCCACGAGCACGTGTCAAGATGCAGAGGGCTGTGACCCCAAAAGATAGGGACGTGCTGACAAAGACGTGGGAAATCCAAGCCCATGGATGCTGCTGGTGGCACTGTGGGGACCCGGGCAGTTCACAGTCAAAACAGAGCCCACGTCCCGTGGAGGACTGCAGGGTACAACGTGGACGACCTCGCTCGGCTTTTGACCCCTTCCCCACTACGACAATGAGGACTCAATCTCTGGGACAGGCTGCACCCTGGATGGGGCCTGTGGACACTGTGCTGAGGGACAGGAGCCAGCTGGGAGGGGGCACCTGTAGAGGCCCTGGATGTGGAAGGCACAGAACTGACACCAGGGAGCGGGAGGCAGGTTTGGAGGGAGGGACGTTGGCAGTCCCTTCTGGGAGATCCTCTGAAGTCAGTGGTACTGATGGCGAGTCCCCTTGACCGTATGGCCCGTGATCACCCTCCAGTTAAAACGGAAGCCAGAGACAAACAGCCAGGACGCGTCTACACAGCCACCTGTGTCTCCATTTCAAAACAAAACACATTCTGACTGCAGGTGACAAGTCACAGCAGAGCTGGTGCAGCTGCTTGAGGGGCGGCGCCTGGGGACAGTGGAGTGTGCTGGAGGGAAGTGAGGTGTCAGCAAGAGTTGGGGGAAACAAAGTGACACACGCTCTGTACTCAGTATCCTGGTTGTCACATCAGTCACAGTCAGGAGGACCGTTATTTAAAGCAGATTGTTTTGGGTACCGGGGTTTGAACCCAGTAGTCCCAGTCCTTCTGTGTTTGAGACAGGGTCTCGCTAAGTCCTTGGGGCCTCTGGAAGTGGCTGAGGTTGGCCTCAGGTTTGTGACCCTCCTCCGCGGACTGCGTGGGTCACCTTAAATGCATCATGATTTCAATGTAAAAATGGACCCTTCTGAGCGCAGCTGCTCGGGGCACTCTGTCTCCTTACAAAGAACTGGGCAGGGGGCGGCCTGCTGTTCCATGTCACCTAGGAGGGAACAGGGCAGGGCGCAAGCCGACCCTGAAGCCCCGTCTCCTAACCACATCAACACTGCGAGCCTTTCCAGTTATTGACAAAGTCCCATGTCCCCCCACCAAGAGCTCGCCGTGTGCCGAGGGCTCTGGGGCTCACTTGCTCCAGGTGCCCACCAGCCCCGGGCAGTCGGCCCTGAAGGACACACGAAGCGCAGGGCTGGGCTCGGAGCCAGGCTGTGGGCGGACACTGCTGGGAAGCCCTGGTGGCCTAGAGCCCCATGTGGTGGCCCATCAGCTCCCATCAAGCACACAGCCACGGCTCCCAGCCTGAGGACCAGAGGGGACAGGCTGCGCCCTGGGCCAGCCAGGAGCTCTCAAGTTTGCCTTCTCTTCCCAAAAGAGGACGTGCCCCGATTTTCTGGGTGTCACGCGAATGTACACGTGAAGGAGCCGAGGGTGGCAGCAATGTCAACACTCCCAAGTGTCCCCGAGTCACCCCTCTAGCGTGTGCCTTGCTCCTACTTCCTTATTACTGGGCTCACGCCAGGAAGGACGTGATGGCCCTCTGCCTGGACCCAGCCCCACGCTCTGGTCGTCGGCACAGGAAGAGCCAGCTGTCCAGCTCTGGGAGTGGCCAACACCTGTGTCCCCACTGGATCCTCCGCGGCTGACCTGCCCTGGTGAACCTCCCGGCTGGACCTCCTCCTACAGAGCGACTGGTAGAACTAACGGGTCCTGCAGAAACCTTCGCAAGCCCAGCAGCTGTCCCCTCAGGAAGCTGGTGCTGGACTGTGTGTCTGACTTAGTGGAGAACAGAACCAGGGGAATGTCCCCAGCCTGAACTCCACCGTGGCACGACCGCAGCCCTGAAGGAGTTCTGGAAGCCATCAGCAAGGTCTCTGAGGGCCAAGGAGGAGCGGGGCACAGGGAGACAGCCTGCTGCCAGTACAGAGGACAGGGAACAGAGGGGGAGAACGTCACCTTGGAATCCGTGGCCAGGAGCACCGTGCCATCCTCGCGTATCAGCGGCTGCTGGATGTTGACGAGCATCCCTGGATCCAGAAGACCCGTCTGTCTATTTAAGACAAAGAAACCCACAGTAGCTTCCAGCACGCTGGCACACTCCCTGCCCTCCTGCACGCATGCTCTGCGGAGACCCAGCGCCCAGGGGACAGCCTCCTCTTGGCGGAAACGTGCACGAAGCCCCCGTGAGCTTGCGGTGGGCTGGACACGGAGGCGCCCACACCGCGCACTGACGGCGGGCTGAGCTGTGCGCAGTCACCGGGGCCCTTCCCGCTCTCTCTGTGCTATGTCCTGGGCATCATTCTCCTCCTCTCTGACCCTTAGAACCAGGTCAATAAGCTGCATTCAAAAGAAGGTACAAATAACCTGTGGCACCCTCTGGGACCTCCTGTTTATACTGCTAAAGTCCAAATCCCGAGCTACCAACACCTGTCCTCCTGACCGAGTGAGGCCTACATGCAGGACATACGGAGCCCTGAGACAGGAGAAGGACCCACCCTGAGCCAGGCACCCCCAGGACTGCTCTGGGGGTGACCGAGCCGCGGCAACGGGACATGCCCAGCTGCCCACCCGGGCCGCCCTTGGAGAACAGGGCACTGACCTGGCTCCATCTTTCTCTGCCACAAACGTGGGAGTGGCTATCAGAGGACTTCGCAGGTCTTTCCGGATATAGATTTTCTCCGTGGAAGCAGCACAATTGCTTGGTTTCTCCCGCTGCACGTCGAAGGGCTTCCGCTCACTCTGCACAGCTTAAAGCACAGCACGCCACGTCACCACACGGCACACCCTGGGGCTCCCTCAGGAACCCCCCGCTGTAGGGGTGAGGAGCTCAGTCTCCACAGTGGACTCCCCGCCCAAGGAGAGGAGGCAGCGAGGCCCCTCGATGCCCCGTCACACCAGAGGCGCACACAGAGCTCCAGAGGACAGGGGCCGCGGCAACAGCACACGGGTGACCTGCAGCCTCGAGGTCTAGGAGCAGCACGTGTTGCTGCTAGTGAACTGGCTCTTCCCAAGGACGAGAAATGCCCATCTTCAAGCTGCCCTGGGCAGGGGAACGGTCCCAAGCCAAAGACACTGGAACCATCCTAGTTTCCAGATCCAGCCTGGACAGCCCTAGCCTCCTGTTTGGTAGCTGCCAATTTTCCATCCCACTGTCACTTCTCCCTTCAGCTCTCTAGTAACAGAGCACAGGGACATGGGCCACAAGCAAACCAAGGTCAAAAGATCTGAAACCCAGAGCCTAGGGTCCAGACGTCCTGCTGACCAGACAATCCAGCTGGATCTTCTACTTTTCCTTCCTCTTTTTAATTTTCCTTTCTTGATATATTTTAATTTAGTTTTATTTTGGTTTCAGCTGGATCCTGACTTCACAGTTACAGCTGAGATGGCAAAAAATAATTTCTGCCATTGTCCTGAGGGATGGCATCTGCTACTGAGGAAGGAAGGTCACTTGGCAATGGAGTGGTGCCGTCCGCCGTGGGGAAGGACCCCATCATGGGCAAAATAAAAACACCACTCTACAGAACCCAGGCTGACGATTCTGACTTTCTGGAGAACACTTTCCTACTTGTCCCCAGTGACGTCTGCCATTTCCCCTGTAGAAACAGAAACGGCTACACTGAAAAGTGCTACTGCCCCCTTCCCAGGAGCCCTGCTGCCCCCAGGATCACGCAGCACCCGGGCCAGGTCGAGTGTCACCTGCACCTCCTGCCCCCGTTCCCCTGATGGGAAGGGAGGTCTCAGAGCCTAACACCACGTCCCTGGGGTCTCTCTGCTGCCTGCTTTAGGTCCTGGTGGTCCTGGTTTTCACTGCCTGGGGACCAGGGCCTGTTCCTGGAATTCCTAACCCCCATTTCTGGTCCCAGGAGCAGAGTGGGGGGGGCGTCCCAATGCGCCATGGCTGGGCGGGAGGCCTGGCCCAGGGCTATGGGAACAGCAGGAGGGTGCATCAGCAAGACGCGGGCTTCTGGCTCTCAGAGGGGACCCTGGGGCTACCAGAGGCCACGTGGCAGTTTGTTCCACAGCTGGCTTTGGCCCCGCTGCACCGTCCTGCTCCCGACTCCTCTGGAGCAGGGCTCGCGGGCGCCACGGGGACTGACCAGGTCCTGTGGCGCTGGCTCTAAGTCACCGGCTGACCCACGCAGTGAGCCGGGTGCAGCCCGTGCGGGGTTTCTTCTTCAGGCACGTGTGCTGTGTGCCCTGCCCCACCCTCCCCCGGGCGCCTGCTCACATTCCATCTTCATGCCCATCTCCAGGCACTTCTTGAGGCGGCAGAACTGGCAGCGGTTGCGGTGGTGCTTGTTGATGACGCAGTCCTGGCTGCTGCGGCAGCTGTAGGTCAGGCTCTTCCTCACGCTCCTCTTGAAGAAACCTTTGCAGCCCTCGCAGCTGACGGCCCCATAGTGACGGCCTGCAAGGACAGGACAGGGGTGGTGGCCGCGGCCTGGGCTGCAGAGGGTGTCCACCAGGGCCTGGGACAGGGGGCCCTGAGCAGGAGGCCAGGCCGCGTCCCTCCCAGGAGCCCCCGTGGTCTTCCCAGCAGCCGCACAGGCCGTGGTGGAGAAGCCGGAGACGCACAGGGCACGGATGACAGGCAGGTGCTCCGGGCACAGCAGGGACCTGCCGCGTTGCCGGAACTCCACCAGGCCCTGGGCGCGCCTGTCCCCAGCCTGCAGACCTGGGTGGCTTGGCTCCCCGGCTCTGTCCTGTGCTGGACACAGGAGACACGAGGAGCGGCATGAGCTGCTTCGGGCCGGGGTCTCACTCCTGCCCTTGTTCAGCTGCAGGGCCTTCAAGGCCCCGGGAAGCAGAGTGGCCACCGCCCGGCCTGAGGTGAGGGAAGGCGTGTGGTCAGCGCCACCATTTCAGCGTCTCCAAGGGCCCCACGCCGACTTTAGAGGAGGAGGGAGAATCCCTTTGGGGGCTGACAGTTCAGTGGTCCGAGTGGCAGACACCACTGCCCTGGGCCTGGGGAGGCGGAGCAGCAGGGAGGGGGGCGTGGGGGGAGGCAGCTCAGGACAGGACGCCCGGAAGCAGAGGCCCGGCTCTCCAGGGACACAAGGCCCCCTGCCCTACCCTGCAGCCATAGTCCCCCTGTACTCAGCTCCCCCAGGGGACCCAGGTCACTCGCCCTGCCTGGGCAAGGCCCTCAGAGCCCGACCTCCCGATGCCCGCAGCGCTTCCCAGGCACCCCTAACACCTGACCCTATCAGAAGGTGGCCACGGGGTCACCTGAGTCAGCTACTTGGTCCCCTCCAGGATCACAGTCTTGGAAACACACTTAGTGCGCACTCTGTTTTCAGCGTCAATCCTCTGACCACACCACCCCTCATTTGTCCCGTGGATGCCTTGGTTCTGCCTGGTTTAGGTGACCCAATTTCAGGGACATCGCCAAGGAGGGCACATTTACAGGACGTTCATTTACGGTGGCCACAGAGGATCCCGCGGACCGAGCGCTAGGCGTGGCCCGTCTCCCACACGTGTAGCTGCGCAGCCTCCACTGTTTCCACCCCCAGCCCCGAGGACGAGCCCAGGGCCCTGCACAAGGGAGGCCAGGGCTCTGCCACGCGCCACGTCCCAGCCTGTGGTTCTGCTCTGAAGAGCAGCTGTGCTGCGGTCGCCTCTGCTCACGGCTCCTCCTCGCCGTGCATGTCCTTCAGCCACCCACCCCCACGTCTCCGTGACTCTAGGACCTGGAGACGAGGGCCCTCTGTGCTCAGAGGAGGCCGGACACCTAGGGCCCTCCTGTGTCCTGTCCCTGCTTTGTTCTCTCCACCCGCGTCCTTGCTGCGCAGGAAGATGGGAACTAGGGAGCCGGGGAGGGCGGAGCGCTGGACACTCCCACGGGAAGACGGGCCTGGGGACCAGGAGCTACAAGACAACGCGACAGCAGTGTGGAGAGTGGGCACAAAAGGGCCATCAGGACCAGAGGCAGCACCGTGGCCCTGCTGCCAGGGCAGGGGAGGGCTTCTGAGAAGGGGCTGGGATGGGCGGTTTCCTGAGGCGCCACGGCCAAGAAACGGTGTCACCAGCCGGGAGGGACCTGCAGCTGCTGTCCTGCAGATGCTCCTGGGGCCGCCTTCCTACAGGCCTGCTCCACCCCCCTCTTTAAACAAACAGGACAAGGTGTCCAGAGCTCCTAGGAATTCGGCTGCCACAGAATAAAGCGGAACCAGGCCGCCCAAGAACTCAAGCCTCACTACTGCCCGCCTCATGACCCTCTGTGTCGCCAGGGCTGACCTTCTGGGCCACCTGTCTGCCTGCACCCCGCCCTCAGCACAGAGGGCGTCTGGGTGTGGGCACCGTCCCCTGGACTAGCTCTGCAGCTGGCGGCCCTCCTCCTCCTCTACCCAGCACACGTACTCTGCCACCAAGGCTCCCGTGGGACGGCTCGTCAGGACCCCGTGCTTGCTGACCCTTTTACAGCTAGGATAACTTACCACCCCGGGTGCTGAGGGGACCTCAAGGCACTGTGCAGAGGATAAGCCAGATTAAAGAGATGATTCCTTTCTTAGGAGCAAGTAATGGTAGACCCTGACGGAGATCCCCAGGGGACTGTCCCCTCAACAGTGCCTCCCTGTTCCTAGCTACTGGGAACGGTCAAGAAATAACTTCTTTTTCTTGACACTCGGATTGAACCCAGGGGCTCCTCATCACTGAGCAGCACCCCAGCCCTTATTATTGAGACAGGGCATCGCTAAGTTACTTAGGGCCTCGCCAAGTTGCCGAGGCCGGCCTTGAACCTACGATCCTCTTGCCTCAGCCTCCCGAGCCACTGGGATTACAGACGTGTGCCACCGCACCTTGTCCAAAAAGTAGTTTTGACTTTTCCTGTTGATCTGAGAAACTTACATCACCCCCCACCCCAATAAGAAAACTGCAGCCCACTTTTGAAACCTACAAACTTACAGAGAATGTTCTTTCTGAGTTAACCACTGCCCCACCCATGACGGCGGCCCTTGCTGCTGGCCCACGACCCGCATCAGCAGAACCCGGGTCACGTACCAGAGGCTTTGTCGCCACAGACCACACAGTACTCCACCACCTGGGGCCGCTGGACGTCCGCCTTCCCCAGCAAGCGCTCCACAGAAGCAGAATCCGTGACGATCTAGGAGGAATCAGCCAACAGTGACCACGAGCCCAGTGTCCAGGCCAAGTCACGGGGAGCTGGGAACTTGGAGAATCCCAGCCCTGCTGCCCGCTCACCCGCACCCTCCGCAGTGGCCCTCCGTGACCACTCTTCTCTCCGGCTACCATCACGGAGCCTGGGGACCAGGAGAGGAGACACTGTGCAGACAGAGTAGTAGATTAAGAAATGCTCCAAGACGAAGGTATTCTAGGTTCTTCCAGGTGCTCCTCTGATCCCATGAAGCCACCCCAGAGTGTGAAGGGGCACGTGAGTCAGAGGGAAGAGCGTTATCAATGAAATAACGAGGCCTCTCACCCAGGCAGATCACGTGAGCCCTGGAACCTGCCGGCTGCCCCTCATTTAGAGGGACTTTTCTAGGTGACACTCTAGGTGCTATCCACCTCGAAGAACATGGACTCATCCTCACTCTGGGAATGTGAAAAGCAGCCGTGTCTGGGCTAACGAGCCGCTTTGGATGATTTACGCATGACGGGGACCGCACTCGGAAGTCACTACATAGAGTCACCTCTTGGGAAACAAGCAACAAGATCAGAGTCTGCCTGTCACCAACGAGGGGTGTTCTCACAGACAGGGCAGGATTCTGGCTTCTGGGACAGGAAGGATGAGATGGTATCTACAAACCGCGGTACAAGCCGTCTCAAAAATAGATTTGTTTTCTACATCGATGTTCTGAAGCTCGTCAGAGAAAACCAATCCTTCCTTCCCTCAGTTTCTCTCTCCACAGTACAAAGCCCCCGTCCCACAAATGCATGAATCCTCACTTTACTTTTAATAACCGAAGGAAGGAACCAGTGCACGTGTCCACCAACAGACGGGAAGACAAGCTCCTTGCAGTGTGGACACACAGGGACCCTGTTCAGCCTTGATAAATAAGGAAGAGAGTTTGCTAAGCGACACGAGCCAGGCACAGGGACAGAGAATGCACGACTCCACTTCCAGGAGGCGGGAATCTAGAGTTCCCCCAACTCAAAACAGCTGGAAACTAGAGTGGGGGCTGCCAGAGGCTGGAGGGGACATGGGGACGTGACTGCCCAGTGGACAGAGAACAGTGACTTGAAATTTCTTCATCTTGGGCATCTATGTACAGTTCCAAATGGGCACAGCTTCAGTTTGGGAAGGTAAAGAGTGACAGCAGGGCCCCGTGGCCCACATCTGCAGTCCCAGGGACTTGGAGGCTGAGGAACATAAGTTCAAGGGCAGCAACTACTAAGACCCTCCCCCACAATAAAACACAGAAAAGGCTGGGGTGTGGCTAAGGGGTTAGGCACCCCTGGGTTCAATTCCCAGAACCAAAGAAATAAAAGGAAGGGACAGAGATGGACGGTGTCAAAACAACGTGAGCTCAGTTAATTTAATGCCACTGAGCACCTAGAAGTGGAAGTAGTAAACCAAAAATATTTTAAAAATTCAAAACAAATATGAGTTTCACCATGACCCTGAGTGATCACACCTGTGCTAGGTGATCGTGTGACACTGGCCTCCAGCCTGTTCCAAGTGTGGGGTTTGGGAATTCACTGCTGCCAACTCATGCTGAGCAAGGACCCTGCCCCCCTTCGGTGCCGCTCTTCTTGCCCCAACCCACCCTGCGTGGCCAGAGCAGGGACAGACCCGTCAGAGACGCGGCAGGCACTTGGGGCCCTGAGCCACAGCTCACAGGAGCGAGAGAGAACAGAGCGAGGCTCTCGGATCAGGTTGGACGACCTGCCAAGGCAGGAGGACAGCAAGAAGTCGCTGTCTGGGGTGGTCAGTCTGAGGAGGGCCTTTAACATAGGGCCCAGGGCTGTCCCCATGAAGAACGACCCTCTCCGCGGCCTCAGTGCCACCGACTTCCTGCCCTTCTGAGGGTCAGTGCTGTTCTCTGGACCTTGCCACTTATCTTTTTTTTTTTTTAACTTGAGCCAAAGCATCAAACCGCCTTGTGCGTGTGTTCCCAAAGGGACCTTCCACGGAGCCGATCTGACTTCCCAGAGGTGAGGACAAGTGAGAAACCCGTTCAGTGACACAAGTCCTGGGACATGCGTCCCCAGATGATGGCCTACCTGGATCCTGCCGGGGACGAGGTTGTCGGAGGTGGTGAAGATGAGCTGCTTGGCGCTGGACGTCTCGGGGGAAGCCAGGATCACCTTCCCGGCCCCAGCTCCATCTGGGCTGGTCAGGATGAACTGCTGCTTGGAGGATCCCGAGGCGTCCACTGCGGTGACTATCTGGATCTTCTGTCCTGTCTGCTGGTCTGTCACGATCTGGAAGACAACACAGAGCGCCGTGAGACCCGTGCACTTGCGGGGGCCACTCAGAAGTGGTGACTGCCAAACGGAGTCCCTGCGGGCATGCTAGCCGGCGATGTGTCAGCACCTCATGCAGCGGCGCGGACCAGCGGGGCAGGGCGGTGGCTTCCCAGATGTGGACTGGCACGGAACTCCCTGTACACCAGGGTCAGGTCCTCAGTGTTATTTTTGGAATTAAAAGCCTATTTCTTAACGACGTCAAGACAACAATAAATAACGGATGACAGTTTCACCTTAAAAACAATCCTGGCCCAGGACCGGACTCGGTGGCTGAGCGCCTGCCTGCTCAGCACGCGTGGGCTCGGTCCTCAGCACCACATCAGTATAAAGTATGCAAGTAAAATAAAGACGCACAATTCTAAAAATTCTGGTCCAGGAATAATAAAATGTGGGCAGCTCTGATCCTTTTGAAAAATGTTGCTAATTCAAAAAACCTAAAAATTTGTGAATAAATCACTTCCTGGGCTCTGTAAGCCAAGAGACCCATCTGACTCCCTGCCGTATGACTGGGGCCAGCGGAGGCCTGACACACGCACAGAAGACAGGACCCCGGGGTGGACTGAGGGCCGCAGGCGCTGACTCGCGAGAAATCCCGACCCCGATTCCTGGAGGCTCCCAGCATTCAGGAGCCACAGCCTCCAGTACCCACGCCCTCCAGGGACCTCACCTTACTGCACCCACAAGATGGCTGCTCGGCGACACTGGCCGCTCTCTGGGCCTGCGAGTCCCCAGCTTGGAGCCCTGGGCTCCTCTCCATCCTGGGACCAGCAGGGCCGCCCCACACTGGAGCCTCGGGGCTGCTGCTGCCAGGGTGTGGCAGGGGCATGGGCTGAGCCCTGCGTCACCACCTCTGACAGACAGGACACGGCGCTCCAGGGTCCAGAGCACAAACTCATAGCCTGAGCACAGCGGTGCCAACTGTCCGCACGGACAACTCAGTGATGTTGGTGGATGCAACTGAAATGACACAACCAAGGAAAGACCCTCCCACTAACAGACATCCACTGAGGGACGTGGGGCACTGTCCTAGGTACGCAGCACAGGCACACGGGCTACAGAAAGCCACTGTGTGCAGGGAGCCACCTCTCTAGAGGGGAACACAGCGTGGCCACAGGCACCGAGGATAGCAGTCCACGGTGAAGGCCACAGAGAACTAAGAAGCAGAAGAAATGACCCTGGGAAGGCGGCGGGGACCTCAGTGGAAGGACCTCCCCGGGACAGCGGCGCAGGCTGCAGCGAGGGGCTATGCGAGGTGTAGCAAGTTGGCCTGGAGGAGGCTGGGCTCAGCCACCTGCTCCCCTCAGGTAACCTGCCCGGCCAACAGGGGCGTCTGTCACCCACACGCCCTCTCCAGAAAGTGTGCTGTGGGCGCAACGGGAATGAAAGTGCAGGGACAGGTACTGCCACCAGAGGGCCAGCCACGGGGTCACAAGCTCTCCAGGGCTCAAGAGAAGAGCTCCAGACAAGGAGGGGAACCCTCGGCTGCTGCGACCCAGGGCACCGCCAGGCCTTCTGCGAAAGTGACCCGTGGCACAGAGCTTCGTGGGGGGAAGCCTTTAATCCTCCCCTCCCCATTGCTCAGCCGGGGCTACGGGCACAGGCTGGCACATGGCGGCCAGACGCCACCCAGGGAAGGCACCCTCCTTAGATCAACAAGACGGCCTCGGAAGGTCCTAGGATCCCAAAGTCCAACGTCTGCCTTCCGTCTCCTGCCTCCATTCCCCTCTCCCTGAACTGCTTTTTCCTTAAGAGACCAAGTCGTGAGGCCAAGCTGAGCTGCAGCCAGGCCTCCTAAGAAATGCGAGGGACACGGTGCTGACATCACAGCATGTACCCCTTACAGGAACTAAGGGGGCCACAGTGCTAGGTGGTATCTCAAGGGACCCCAGTGTGTCTGTGGCCCACTATAGCCAAATGTCCTGTAGCAGGTGACTAGAGTCGGAGAACGCGGGTGGTGCCCATGCCCTGCTGTCTGGAGGCGACGCGCTGCCCTCGGCACACGTAGGGAGTGTCTCTCTTCCTTCCAGGTCCTTCCCAGGCCTTGTGGCAGAGGATGGTGGGAAGAAGCCAGGGGAGCTGGGACACAGGGGTGACTGGTCTGCACAGACACAGTGGCGTTTGGTGGCTGCACATACAATTCTCCCCCCCTCCGCCTGCCTCACAAGACTCAGGCTCATGCAAATCCAAGACCCACAGCTTTTGAAACCTCCTGCTCACAGTCTGACCTCACTGATGCCTGCAGCCTCCATTTTGAGAGATCACCTACATGAAAAAGAACTAAAGATGCCATCGGAAAAAATGACCCCCACACCCCCCGGAACCCGAGGCTGACCACCAGGCACAGAAAGACCAGGCCCTGGGCAGCGTCAGGTGGGAGGGTGCGGCCACATCCCTCGTCTGTGAGCAGAACCTCACTCTCCCCTCGGCTCGCTCCACCTAACCCCCAGGACCGGTGACCTTATTGGGAAACAAGGCCTCTGCAGACGTAACCGAGCACAGGTAAGGTCACAGCGGGTCCTGAATCCACCAGCCAGTGTCCCTGTAAGAAGGCCACGTGGCAACGGGGCAGAGACTCTGGATGATGCAGGTGTAAGCAGGCAGGGATGCCAGGGGCTGCTGTTGGCCACCAGACGCCAGAGAGCAGGGAGCCCAAGAGGGGTGGCCCTGCGACACCTTCGCTTCACGCCGCCGGCCTCCACAACTGAGGAGAACACAGTTGTGCTGCGCAGGCCACGTGTCTGTGATGACCTGCTATGGCAGCCCTGGGAGAAGGACACAGGAGGCCACCTGTCATTTCTTCACACGGAGCAGCAAGTGGCAGGCGGGGAGGCCTGAGGGACATCCTGCTCTCTGTGTGACTTCTATGGCCCGCCACCTCTCGGCCACTCAGCACGGAAAGAACCAGACCATCAGGGAAAGGCGAGTTCTCGAGTGTGACCGAGTGACAGCTCCTGTGCTGGTCTGCGCACTGTGCCTCCCACGGGCAGCACTAGGCCACACACCTCGGTGATCTTGGGAACAGCAGCCCAGGGGAGGGCTGTGTGTCACACCCAGCCAGCCAGCGCTGCAACTGTCCATGTGACTTCAGGTCCCCCTCGGACCCCAGTCACCCATGAGATGCGCTTCTGTCACCCCCTGCGCCAGCGCTCCGCAGGCTTCCTCAGGCCCAGGGCCGCGTCTGTCACAGCTGGGCACTGACCCGCCTGCAGCTCTACCAGACTCCCCCGTGAGGCTCGTGCCACTGACCCTGGGCCTGCCCCCGTGTCTTGTGGCTTTCACTGCATAGTTTTGTGCAGTGTGTGGTGACTTTTAGGGATACACAGGCCACCTTACCACAGAGCTGGCCTCTCTACCAAGCCAAGGCCTATCCCAGCTCTAACCCCAAAGGATCTTGGCGTGACTGGACACCCTGTCATTGTCCCCCACACCTCCCACTCTGTCCTTCATGACAGAAATGAGCTGAGGAAGCGTCTGCCAGGAGATGGCCAACAGGCCACTAGCTGCTGCGTAACTTTTGGCTTCTTCAACCCAGGTTCACTGTTCTCTGGCCACCCTGGGCAGGTGCTCCCCTCGGCACAGGCACAGGCTGGAGCGGGTGCAGTGCCCACCCCTTTAGATGGGGCCAGGTTGCCCAGTCCTTGCCTTGCTCACCTCCTCCTGCTGCCCGGCCCATCAACACCTGAGCGTGTGGCCTTGGACGGGCTCTGCAGCCGGACAACGGAATAGACTCTTGCTCCACCACTGCTCCAACTGTGTCGGCCTGCACGAGCTGACCAGCCTGTTTCTACATCTTCATAGAAAAGAACGACGGAACCACCATTTGACTTCCCACTCCCTGGTCTACACCCAAAGACTTAAAAACAGCACACTACAGGGACACAGCCACATCAGTGTTCACAGCAGCACAATCCACAACAGCTACACTGTGGAGCCAACCTAGATGGCCTTCAACAGATGAATGGATCAAGAAACTGTGGTGTATACACACAATGGAATATTACTCGGCATTCGAAGAGAATAAAATCATGGCATTTGCAGGTAAATGGATGGAGTTGGAGAAGATAAGGCTAAGTGGAGCAAGCCAATCCCAGAAAACCAAAGGCCGAATGTTCTCTGATAAGTGGAGGCTGATCCCTAATGGGGGTGGGGAGCATGGGAGGAATGGAGGGACGTTGATTGGGCAAAGGGGAGGGAAGGGAGGGACGGGGCAGGAGGTAGGAAAGACGATGGAATGAGATGGACGTCATTACCCCCATGTACATGTATGAAGACACGAATGGTGTGAATGTAGTTTGTGTACAACCATTTGTGTACTGTGAACTCTAATGCATTCTGCTGTCATGTACAACAAATTAGAATAAATAATAAATTTCATTAAAAAAAAAGAATGTCTAGAGAAGGGAAATGGTCGTGTGTGAAAGTGCCTGGTACACTACAAAGACGAACAGACCAAGGTACTCAGGTACAACCCGATATGACATAGCAAGACAGACAAACCCCACAACATGGGTGGACAAGAGGAAGAGGCCAGAAACAAGGCTCATATCTTCCATGTATGTGAGATTCCAAGAACCAACAAGGCACAGAGACAGAACGCAGGCCACAGGGTGGGACTACTTAACAGGTACAGGGACAGTGAAGTGTTCTGGAACTGGGGTGTGGGGTGTGTGCAGGGGTACTAAATGCCTCTGAATTTCGGTTTAACCTTGTCAGCTTTTTGTCAGTTTTACTGAAAATCGTTTGTTATTTGCAGGTGAACACAGATTCGTTAAAAATGTACATAATAAACTCAGGATATCAACCGAAATCACGTCAACTGAAAAAGGACCTAAGAGGAATCATGAGAATTGCTCATTCAAAACCAGAGAAGGCAGAGTGAGAAGCTTCTGGCAATTAACAAAAAACAGAGAGTCGGATGATAGTGATCCACATAGATCAATAACACCAAGTGTGAG